TCCTGTTTGTAAGGAGACTTAAAGTTGCAAAAGAAATCTAAAAACATCTCCTGGCACTTGTGAATTTCTGATCCAAGGTTTCTTTGGAGCCATTAGTGAAACTTCTGAAGTTTTGGAGGAACTTACTGCCTTGATTATTAATTATGGTTATCACTACGGTTTGACTCTGGGGGCCAAGGACAACGCCACAGGCTCGGAAGCCGAATTAGGTGTTTTTTGGAGCACAGCTTCTTAACACCACGCTTAGTTGATTAATAAAGAAGTGATAAGAAAATGCACTAGATTTGTGGCTTTTTTTTTTTTTTTTTCCTTTTCTGAGACGGAGTCTCACTGTGTCACCCAGGCTGGAGTTGCAGTGGCATGATTTCAGCTCACTGCAGCCTCCCAGGTTCAAACAATTCTTCTGCCTCAGCCTCCTGAGTAGGATTGCAGGTGTGCGCCACCATGCCCGGCTAATACTTTTGCATTTTTATACAGATGGGTGGTTTCACCATGTTGGCCAGGAAGGCCTCAAACTCCTGACTTTGTGATCTGCCCGCCTTGGCTCCCAAAGTTCTGATATTACAGACGTGTGCCACTGCGCCTGGCCTGTGGCGTTTTTTCAAAGCACGTTATTCATTTTGCTAAATGTCCCAGAAATTAATTAAAAACTAAAAGCGACCTTTATAAAGTGTAGGTCTTACACACACGAACGTGTCCTTATGTATGTTTACCTGTAAATGAAGACTTTTCCCTGGCCACATTCAATTTATTGAATCCTCAGGTGAGGAGCACCTGCAGTTTGCCCTTTTTTTCCCAAAATGCTTTGTTTTCTTGAAACTGTTCGCAAGAGAAGCCAGACTTTCCTGAATAAGCAGACCACTGTGCTCTAGTAGAGATTTGTATTATAAAATTTGAGTTTGCAAAATTAAATTAATTTCTAGTTGGTGGATTTTTGTGTGGAAATAATTTGGGCTAGTTGACTTTACTAACTGGACCCTAACTACTACTAGTTAGGAGAGGATGGTTATTTGTGGTGATATTGGATATCAGGTAGCAGTAAGTAGAATAGAAGAGGGATTTAAAAATTATCCAAGCTGGGCACAGTGGCTCACGCTTGTAATCCCAGCACTTTGGGAGGCCGAGGCGGGCAGATCATGAGGTTAAGAGTTATAGACCAGCCTGACCAACACAGTGAAACCCTGTCTCTACCAAAATTACAAAAAATTAGCTGGGCATGGTGGCAGGTGCCTATAATCCCACCTACCCCAGAAGCTGAGGCAGGAGAATCACTTGAACCCAAGAGGTGGAAGTTGCAGTGAGCTGAGATTGTGCCACTGCACTCCAGCCTGGGTGACAGAGCTAGACTCTGTCTCAAAAAAAAAAAAATGATCTGTTCATTTTTCTCTTTATCAGTAAGATTTCCAATTCATGTCCATTCTTGAAGTCATTGGAAAGCTTTGTACCAGCCTTGAGCCAGGGCACCAGCAGGCTGGTGTGGAGGTGTATGTAGTGCAGCAATGCTTGAAGAGGGTCAGGACCCAAGGAAAGGTGACAATAAGAGGACAAAACCTTGCACTTCACAGTCCTCTCTAGAACATCCTCCATCTAAGCAAAATCTATTAGAAATTTTAAGAGGCCTCAGTTAAACATGGCTGCCCAGTGTCCTGCCGAACAGGAGGAATTCATTCTTCAGTACAAGCTCTATTGTCAGTAAGACTGCTGAGAACAGGGCAGCAGTGTTTAGGCTGTGAGGCCCCTGGACTGCGGAGCTTGCTTCGTAAAAGGTGTCATGATACCCCCTGAGTTGGCTTTACAGAAAAGACTCAGCTATTGGAAGTCTCTGGGATTGTATGGCATCATGTGGTAACAAGACCTGGTAAATAGCTAGAATGTAGAGAAGAAGGAAACCAGAGGCAGCTTGCTGTTGGAGCTGAGAGGTGAGTGCTCACTGGAGGGCCAGGAGAAGGTCAGAGTTTGACAGACCTGAAGCAGAGAGTGATACGTTGTTGTTGTTGGTTTTTTTTTTTGTTGTTGTTGTTTTTTTTGAGACAAAGTCTTGCTCTTGTCACCCAGGCTGGAGTGCAGTGGAATGATCTCAGCTCACCTCAACCTCCACCTCCCAGGTTCAAGCTATTCTGCCTCAGCATCCTGAGTAGCTGGGATTACAGGCACCTGCCACCATGCCAGGCTAATTTTTGTATTTTTAGTAGAGATGGGGTTTCACCATGTTGGCCAGGCTGGTCTTGAACTTCTGACCTCAGGTGATCCACCCAACTCAGCCTCCCAAAGTGTTGCGATTACAGGCATGAGCCACCGCACCTGGCTGAGAATGTTTTTTTATAGGCAGAGGAGTGGAAGGGTTGGCCAACACCATGAGCAAAAACAAGAAGCTGAAAATGACAGAATGTTCAGAGAAAGGCAAACAACTGGTGTGCTGAGGCTTGACTCCCTATGGAGAGGGATGCGGCTGGGGGTGGTGGGTGCCTGGAAAGCAAGGCTCTTGGTGATAACCTCTACTTTTTGATCAATGTTCTGGGTTTTTTTTTTTTTTTTCAATATTTTTTTTTGCTTCATTAGGCCAATTTTAAGCAAATATAAAAACACAGTGAAGTCGCATAATGAATTTCCAAATATCTATCAAATGGACTTCACAAGTCTTGTTTGGCTGTACCTACTTCTTTTTTTTTTTGGTTGTGACTGAAGGAGTTTAAAGCAGTTTATTCCAGACAACATGACATTTCACCCCTAAATTGTTCAGTGTGCTTCTCCAGAGAGGGTGTTTGCTTGTATAACCATAATATAATTATCACCTCCTGATGAAATTGACAGTAATTCCTTAACATTTTCTAAAACCTAGTCCATGATCAAATTTCCTTGATCACCTCAAAAATGCACTTATTTTTACTGTTGGTTTGTTTGAATCCAAATCCAGACAAGAATTTGTTGACTATTATCCTTTCATTTTATTTTAGAGACAGGATCTAGCTCTGTTGAGATCACAGCTCACTGTAACCTTGAACTGTCTGATTCAAGCCATCCTCCCACCTCAGCCTCCTGAGTAGCTGGGGTTGTAGACGTTTGCCGCAATGCCCAGCTTTTTTTTCTTTTCTTTTTTCTTTTTTTTTTTTTTAGTTTTTATAGAGACAGGTCTTGCTATGTTGCCCAGGCTGATCTTTTTTTTTTTTTTTTTTGAGATGGAGTCTCACTCACTGTCACCCAGGCTGGAGTGCAGTGTCACAATCTTGGCTCACCATAATCTCCACCTCCTGGGTTCAAGCAGTTCTCCTGCCTCAGCCTCCCAAGTAGCTGGGATTACAGGCACCCGCCACCATGCCCAGCTAATTTTTTTGTATTTTTAGTATAGACGGGGTTTCACTATGTTGGCCAGGCTGGTCTCAAACTCCTGAACTCGAGGGCTTCACCTTCCTTGGCCTCCCAGAGTGCTGCTGTTACAGGCTTGAGGCACCGTGCCCAGCTGTTGTCTCTTTCAGTCTAGGGCAGGGGTGGCAAATGTCTTTGTGAAGGGCCAGATACCAGCTCTTTTAGGTTTTGCAGGCCCTGTGGTCTCTGCCTCAACTGCTCAGCTCTGCCATTGTCATGTGGAAGTAGCCGGGGGTGGTAGTAAATGGATAAGCACGGCTGTGTTCCAGTAATATTTAATTTCCAAATCTTTTGTGTTTTAAAATCCACCCACAGGCTGGACTTACCCACAGGCTGTGGTTTCTTGACCCAGGTCTAGAGTAGCCTTTGTGGGTTTCTTTAATGCCAATGACTGTCCGTGTTACCTGGTTGATTTCCTGTAGGGTGCTTCACATTCTGGATCTGTTGGGCCACTTTTCGTGGAGTATGGTTCAGCCTGCTTCTCTGTCTCCTATATTCCTGTAAACTGGAAGTCAGATCTAGAGGCTTAATTGGGTTCATGCTTGCCATTTTTGGCAAGTCTACTTCAGAAGTGGTTTGAATTTTTTTTAATCTAAATTTATCTGACTTTAAAGACTTGGAAACCTTCATCAAAGAAGCTCAGCATTACCAAAATAGGAGCTCAGCATTACTAAAATCGGCTTTGCCTGATGGCTGAGAATACACTCTTTTTCTTTTCCTACTTACTTTTCTTATTTGTACGATAGTATGTAGCTGTTATTTCTCCAGGAGATCTTTTTTGATTTGTAATTTTTGTGGGTACCTAGTAGTAGGTGTATACGAGATACATGTGTAATAATAAACCCTCATTACAGGGTATATGAGATACAATGTGTAATAATCACATCAGGGTAAATGGGGTATCCATCACATCAAGCATTTATCTTTTGTGTTACAATCTAATGATACTCTTTTAGTTATTTTTAAATATACAATTACATTATTACTGACTATAGTCACCCTGTTGTGCTTTCAAATACTAGATTGTACTCCTGCTTTCTGTGTTTTTGTACCCATTAACCATCTCCACTTTCCCCCAAGCCCCAACTACCCTTCCCAGCCTCTGGTAACCATCATTCTGATCCCTATATCAGTGAGTTCAATTGTTTTAATTTTTGGCTCCCACAAATGAGTGAGAACATGCGAAGTTTGTCTTTCCATGCCTGGCTTATTTCACTGAATATAATGGCCCCCAGTTCCACCATATTGTTGCAAATGACAGGATCTCCTTTTTAATGGCTGAATAGTACTCAGTTGTGTGTATATAGCACATTTTCTTTATCCATTCATCTGCTGATGGACACTTCCCAAGGAGGTCTTGAGAACTTTGAGCCCTTTCTCCAGGTCACTGGGAACATTCCTCTATTCAAGGCATTCTTTGGCCCCTCAAGCATGTGGACTACATTTTTGCACTGAATAAAAGTATATTCCTTCATTGGGCATGTGCCCAGGGTCTGAGATTGCTTTCTAATGGGAGTTAGGTCATTCATGTTTGTTTCTAAGCCCCTTGTCTCTTAAACATTTAACTTTCTTCACTTGACTACTTCTTACCTCACCTCCCAACAGGACTGAAGACTGGATATTTGGTCCCCATGGATCTTCTGGTCACCATGTGAGGTGGACTTACTTTTCCTTGAGTCATTTGGAAGGACTGTGAAGTCAAAAGTTTTTAAGACTCTCAGGCTTACTGAGGTTCTGGATTCCAAGGCAACATTTCTTTGAAGAAACAAGCTTACAGGTGAGAACTGTTAGCCTCTATTCTAGAGTGTTCATTGCTCTGAAATTCTAGAGCACCAGAGGAAGTATGCTGACAAATAGCTGGAAGCCCTTGTCTGTTTGTCATTTTAGTAGTGGGGGAGCCAAGTATGGTGGCTTATACCATAATTTCAGCACTTTGGGAGGCTGAGACAGGAGGATCATTTGATCCCAGGAAGTTGAGGCTGCAGTGAGCTGTGATTACACCACTGCTCCAGCCTGGGTGGCAGAGAATTAATTTTTTAAGTTTTTAATTAAAAAAATTAAAGGAGGAGGAAAAGGGAAGGGAAGAATAGTAGGGAAATTGTATGTTCATTTCTGCATCTATTTTTCTATGGGGTTGTGGTCTTTTGATTTATAAGAATTATACATTGAGAATACTAATTTTTTGTCATACATGCTATAACTATTTCCACCCCATTTTTGTACTTTGTGTAATACAATCTCTAGGCTTTGCAAAAAAATTTTTAATTTTACATGGTTAAAAATGTCAGTCTTCCCTTTACAGTGTCTTTGTGGTGTGTCTTGCTTAGAAAGACCTGCCCATTTTAAGGTTTCTTTTTAAAATTCATGTTAACACAGATAAAGGAAACTGTAATGAGAGCTGGGAACATGTGATTCTGAAAAAGACTATTGACGGGGGAGTATTTCTACCAGAGAATATAATACCAAACTAATGCTGGCATTAAGATTGGACCTGTGTGGATAAGTGCTGAAGTTGGGAGATGAGTATTTGAGGTTTCCTTATATCATTATCCTACTTTTGTACATATTTTACTTTCCATAACAGAGTTTGTTTTTTCCACCAAGAAAAGAATAGCAGGGGGAAATTATATCTTTGTCCCATTCATTCATATTCAGCAGCTATTTATTAATAGCTATTCTGAACACTTGAGGGTATTGTGTTAATAGATGAAAAGGGTGCTGGAATTTATGTGGGGCACCCTAACCTAGATGTTAATATTTGTGTGTCAGCCTGCCTGGCTTCTCATCCTGGCACTGTTACTTACTAGCTGCGAAATTTTGTATATTATTATACAGCTGTCTGGAGGCTCTAGAGAGAATCTATTTTCTTGCTTTTGCAGCTGCCAGAGGCCACCTGCATTTCTTGGTTTATTGTCCCTTTTCCCCATATTCAAAGCTGACAACATTACCCTTCTCTGACCATTTTTGTCATCACATCTGTCAGATCTGATACAGGACAGGTTTTCCAGTTTTGTGGGTTCCTCAATTGGTTAGATTGGGCCCACTTGGGTAATTCAGATTAATCTCTGCATCTCAAGGTGCTCACATCTGTGGAATCTCTTTTGCCATAGGAGTAACAGATAGGTTCCAGGGGTTAGGATATGAACATCTTTGGGTGGCCATTATTCTGCCAACCACAGATTTGAGGAGACAAAAGAAGGTGAGTGTGGCTGAGTCCTTGGCAGGGAGGAGATGGGACTGGAGAGGGAGCCAGGCAGAGGGTTCTGTAGGTCATCATAAGTTTTGAAGTTCCAACAGTAAGAGGAAATTGCAGTCAGATTTATTGCCCCAATTCTGGAATCAGCTGTTTCTCCAAGGAGCCCTGGTTAGCTGTTTTAAAGTGACAAATGGTACATAGAGACCATAATCTGGACCTAATAGGGTGCTCATTGCTGTTGGATTGGCAGTTGTTTTTAAGCCATTTCAACAGACAGAGATAGGGAAAACCACTATTCAAGGTAAAATATTTCATGAGCTCATTCTGATAACATCCAAGTCTGTTTCTGGACTACAGCATTTTTGCTTGATGCCATAGAACTTATATCCATACCTCTTCTTCCACTCCACAAATCTCAGTTCAGAACAACCCTAGCATAATTGATGCTTTGCTTTCGGCCTCACCACACAGTCACTGCCACAGGGGTATGGGGATTGGGAGGAAGACCACAGAGGTAAAGTGCTATTTGCGTTACGTCATCTCAAGCCTATGTGCTGTCTACATGAATTCTCTCTTTTGCTTTTGACCTTGACTACCTGACTGAAATAGTGATTGGCAGGTTTCTCCACTATAAAATCACACTTTCCCCCTCTCTTCATACTGTGCTTTGAAAGGAAGTCACAGTGAGCAGCCTGTGCTTCTGGAGGGAGGAGTTATTTATGCTTCGTCTCCTTAAGGGGAAAGTATCTGCATATGTTATTTGGAATTCTTCTGTGCAAGAGGTTTATCTGTTTTCTTGCATTTATTTACTCAGCCAGTTATATCATTATGGACTCACAGATACTTATTTTATGCTTTAGGTTGTAATCCAGTACTCCTTATTTTGTTCTCCAATTGTTCCTGCTTTGGCCTTTGGGAGCCTGTTCTGTTGTCTCCTGGGTCCCTTCGACTTGCCCCATCATTGTGGGCTGTGACGTTTGTTTATTTTTGAGCACTTCCTTGCTTTCTGGTATTGCTAGATGCCCTAGATTCATCTTGTGTATTCCCTGCTCCAGTCTTAGGTTTGGCCATTTCTCTAGGGAGCCCTGCTCCCCTCTGTTGTATTAGAAACCACAAGCTGGATGCTGGTATGCTCACTTCTACTGCAATGGCATTGCTTTTAGGTCCTCTCAGCTGATGGAGCAAGGAAATGTCTGAGTATACTGACCTGTGCATATACACATAGCAGTAAATACTTCTGCATGGAGCCATCTGTTTCTGTGAGTCCACACTGCTGTCTCCAGCTCTAATCTGTTACCCATGATCATTCTCGCCTTTTCCCTGCTTGTCTCTCACCTCCCACTTCAGCAGTGAGAAACCCGCTCCCATTGCCTGTGGCTCATTTGCCTACTTGTTCAGTACGTCTGGGTGTGTCTCAGGGTCAGAATTGCCATCTCGCCCTATGGGAACCACTTAATCAACATGACCCTGTTTTTATTAATACATGTAGTTCCTTTTGCCTTTAGTCTTGTAACTGTGGCCTGGGCCAACAGGTGAAACAGTTTCTTTGGGCAGGTTGAAATGAGATCCTACTGCCTTGAGAATATCTTACCTGTCAGATCTACAGGGTGCAGATTCCATGGCTTCCCCTGGCAGTTCTTCCGTCACCTGCGAACCCTGGCTGTCATACTCAGCCTAAGCCAAGGCAGCCTTTGCTATCCTGACTTGACACAGAAGTGTTACTTCGTAACAGTGTTCGTTTACTAGGGCTTCCATAGCAAATCACCAGAAACTTAAGACAACAAAAATTTATTCTTGGCTCACAGAATCCAAAACCAGAAATCAGGCTGCTGTCAGGGCTGCCATCCTTCCAGAGGCTGTATGGAAAGTCTTTCCCTACCTTTTTCGGCTTCTGGCAGCTCCCGACGTTCCTTGGCAAGTGGCTGCACAGCCCCCGGCTCTGCTTCCGTCTTCACATGGCCTCCTCCTGGGTGTCCATCTTCTCTTCTTTTTCTCATAGGGAAATTTGCCATTGGATTCAGAGCCCCTGTAGATTACTCAGGATGTTTAATCTCAGCTTCCGTAATCTGCAAAGTCCCTTTGCCATGTGAGGTACCATAGTCAAAGGTTCTAGGGATCAGAACATGGACATGTTTGTGGAGGCCTTGTTCCATCAGCATCACCTTGTGATGCAGCAGCCATCACAGGATCAGAGCAGATCCTCAGGCATTTTTGGCAGATAAGACCAGGTGCCAGTCATTCCCATGGTGTGTTTCTGTTGCTCTTCTACACCAAGGCGGGCCCATCGTGTCTAGACCTGGCAGGTCCCTCCTTCCTCTGTGCTGAAGGAAGGAGACATGGGTTCCATGCCTGAATTCCATCAGCAGAACGGTGCTCAGAACCTTCTTTGATTCACTCTGTAGGGGTGGAAAGGGGGTGATCCCTCTCTACCCCATCATAAGGGTCATGGCTGACACCCCTAACAATAGAAAAGCAAAGCACATATGTTCAATCATGTATGACCCAGGGCTTTCAGAATGAAGGCCCAAAGACCCAGAGGAACTCTCCAGTTTTTGCTTAGATTTGAAGAAGCACAGACCGCCATATGGAAATGCGATTGGAAGAAAGGGTGTGAGCTGATGGAAATAGCCCAAATGGGGAAGCCCCGCAAGGCCTGTCTCCTCAGGTTCTTCTTGGCCTCTCTGTGGTAGCATTTCTTCCTTCCAGGCATGGGGCAGGACCAAGTTCTTTAGAACATCCTCATTGTCCAAGTTCTTTATGGCCAGCTGTTATACAGAAAGCCTGGAGGAAGACCAGAGTAGTGTTTTTAGGTTTTATGACTGGCTTTGGGGGAAGGGGAATTCCCTTGGGGAAGAGGAATTCTGGATCCTGTGTTTGCCTTGAGGGAGGATGAGAGGGGCAAGACAAACAGGAGAAAGTGGGAGAGACTGAGCTGCTAAGCCCCACAACTCCTAGGCCCTCCTCTCCCCACAGCAGCAGGCACTCCTGCCTCTGCACCCTGGGGTAGTTTTGCTGTGACTGCTCTTTTACTTACTTGAATTTCATGTTATTTTGTTTTGTATAATTAATTATTTTGCATACTAGCCTAAACACTGCTGGGCTGTGAGCTCTGATTGGGCGAGAAGCACGCCTTCCTCATTTGAAGTCCACCATCATGCTTCCCACACAGCGGGCACCCAGGAAGAAAGCACTTACTTCCCGTTAGTGGAGATTATTGATGTTCTGAGTCAGGCCGAAGTAAGTTAGAGTGAGAAAGAGTGTACGTGGGAATACTCCTCATGTGCTGCTGTGTTCTTGTCCTTTTTCAAATTACCACAGCTACTTTCCAAGCTTTTGAGTGTTAATTACCTCTTCTTGCTGTTGGCATCTGTACTTGGGAGTATGAAGCAGGTAAGTTAATGAAAATTAATATTTTTACATCTCATGACGGTTTTATTAACTTACCAGCATTAAATGAGGTTTGAAAAGTATTCTTTGAGCCGTTATTGAAAATAATCATTACTGCCTGCTTTGAATTACTCTTCTCCCTTGATTTGGTTTTCTGCAAAGTTAGATCCAGATTATAAAAGCTTAATAAAAACTTTTAAGAGGAAATCAGAGTATCTCATAAATGAACAAAGAATGGTTTGACGGCATTGCAGAGAACATTTATGAAGTTCTAAGTCACAGGCCACGTGATAATTTTAGGAAGAATGGTGAACAGCAAGATCTTCCAACAGAAGTCAGGTAGACTCACGGCTAAGCCAGCGGTACCAGGGTTCTAGGGCTTGAGATCAGCTAGGCTGTAACTGCGAATGTATTGACCATGGGAGCTTGCCAGAAGCTCGGTCACCTGCTTCTCACTGGGTTTCTTAAGCCTCTCTGTCACTTTCCATCTGGGCTAACTGGCAGATACCTTAAGCAAATGTGACACATTCTGGACTCTCGGGTTTCAGTGTAGTGGTGGCATAAGTGGATGTTTTTATTATGTAGAATAAAAACAAAATTGGCAGGATATCTGTAAACTTGTGTCCAGGGAGGCTCTCTCTCCATTGGCAGTGTTTGGGATTAGAGCTGTAGAGGTGAAGGTGGCCGCTACCACGGGAAGAAAGAGGAGTACACTTGGTGTTCGGCCATTCTCTATGGTCGCACAGAGGCCAGTTATCTCCCCATCAAATGAATGGTTTTCAGAGTCAACTTAGTGATCAGGGCTCTTAGAAAACATCTGTTTCCCTTTCCTATTTTTCCCTTCTGTATTTTAGTTGTGCCTGAGTAAATAACAAACCCCTGGTGAAGAAAGGCAAGTGAAAATATCATTCCCACCCTTAATGCATAACAATTAGGTACAAATTGGCCTTGAACTTGGTTCCTGCAGAGACAGAGACACATCCTAGTTGATGAACCCTTCTTTCCTCCCTACCGCCCTCCCTCCTTTCCTTCTCCCCTACCTGCCTTTTTTTCCCCGTTTCAGAATTTTACTGTGACCATTTCCAGACATACTCAAAAGTATAGTAACCCTCGTGTGTCCCCCACCCGGGATCAGAGAGCACCACACCATACTGGCTTTGCATGCTTGTTCTGAGTGCCCTCCTCCCTTTGTGTTTTGGAGTTTTGTTTATTTGCTTGTTTCTAGAGAATTTTGAAGCAAATGCCGGAAATCATGTTATTTCATCCCCACATATTTTAGTGTGACTTTTGAGGGTTTTTAACATAAATATAATTCTACCCAACAATGAAAAATTATTTCTTAATATCTTTCATCTGTATTTTGATATCCTTTCTTTTTTTGAGATGGCATCTTGCTCTGTCACTCAGGCTGGAGTGCAACGGCGTGATCCTGGCTCATTGCAACCTTCACCTCTTGGGTTCAAGCGATTTTCCTGCCTTAGCCTCTTGAGTAGCTGGGACTACAGGTACCTGCCACCATGTCCAGCTAATTTTTGTATTTTTAATAGAGACGGGGTTTCACTATGTTGGCCAGGCTGGTCTTAAACTCCTACCTCAGGTGATCCACCCACCTCGACCTCCCAAAGTGCTGGGATCACAGGGGTGAGCCATGTGCCTGGCCTGTTTTTCTAAAACAAGGCCTGTGCAGTTGGTTTATTCAAGTCAGAATTTTAAAATTCCATCTATTATATTTGGTATATGCATCTCTTGTCTCTTAAAAATAATTTTGTATGCCAGGCATTAATTAGATTCAGAGTGTTCTTATTCTTTTACCTTTCATTTTTAACTGTTTTCGAGTAGTTGCATGCTCTCATGCTTTCATTCATTATTATTAAGTTTACATACAGTAAAACCAGCTTGTTTGTACAATGTGGATAGCTTTAAAATGTGTGGATTCTTGTACTGGCCATCACCAATGGTATACAGAGTAGTCCCATCACCAAAAAGCTGGGAAACAAAGCACCCTCCCTCATTCTGCCCCTCTGTAGTCCAACCCTTCCCCTCCTCAAACCCTGACAGCCTTGATTTGTTCTTCATCCTCGTACGTTTTGCCTTTTCCAGAATGTCGTATAAGTGGAACGATATAATATGCAACCTTTGAGCTGACGTTTCACTCTGACAATGCCTTTGAGATTTGTCTGTCTGTGTATTCTTTCTTCTCGCCATTGTCTGGATGTTCTGCAGGATGTGTATCCACTCACAGTTGAGGGCCATTTGGAGTATTTACAGTTTTTGGTGATTTTGAATACAGCTTCTGTATGCAAGACATCTTTCATCTTTCCAGGGCAAATTCCTAGAAGTGCAATTGCTGGTTTGTAATTTTGTGAGAAACTTCTAGATTTAATTTTATAGGAGACTCTCCACAGTCCTGTACTGTTTTGCATTCTCACCCGCAATGGGGAGAGTTCCAGTTGTTTCACATTCTTCTTGGCACCTCATGTTATCAGTTTGGTGTTTCTTCATTTGAGTCATCCTAATAGATGTGTTATTTCTATTTTTATTAGGTTTTTTAAATTATAAAAATTTGTTTTTAATAATTCTTATATAAGTTATTGGATTAAATTTATGTCATATACCCATTATCAAAATAAATACGGTTTTCTGATGATTTTTTACATTGAAATTGGTAACTATACTGAAAAATAAAATAAAGTCACGCCACCATGCCCAGCTAATTTTTTGTATTTTTAGTAGAGATGGGGTTTCACAATGTTGACCAGGATGGTCTCGATCTCTCGTGATCCACCTGCCTCGGCCTCCCAAAGTGCTGGGATTACAGGCTTGAGCCACCACACCTGGCCAGAGTCATTCTTAAATCTCACTAATTGAGAGATTATATTTGGCAAACTATTACAAAATAATATCTGAATTCACAGTGCACTTTGCAATGCAAGATGCATCGTTATATGCATCTCATTCCTGAGCATCTCATTCCTGTTTGACCATTACTGACTAGTAGTACCATGTTTGCTTTTGCCATCAGTGTTATGCTAGAGTGGATTGGTCGGTGAATAGTTGATTACATGAGAACAAACTGGATGTCAGCAGAGAGTAATTTGTTTGAATGCCCTTTAGCTGCACTGAACACCATTGGAGTTGCTGTTTGTTTTTTAGACAGGGTTTCACTGTGTTGCCCAGGCTGGAGTGCAGTGGCGCAGTCACAGCTCACTGCAGCCTTGACCTCCTGGGCTCAAGTGATTCTCTTGCCTCAGCCTTCCAAGTAGCTGGGACCGCAGATGTGCACCACCACACCCTGCTAATTTTTAAATTTTTTATAGAGATTGGGTCTTGCTATGTTGCCTGCACTGATCCCATTATAGGTTTTCTTCTTCTTTTCTTTTTTTTTTTTTTTTTGGGAGACAGAGTCTTGCTTGTTGCCCAGGCTGAAGTGCAGTGGTGCAATCTTAGCTCACTGCAACCTCTGCCTTCAGGTTCAAGCAATTCTCTTGCCTCAGCTTACTGACTAGCTGGGACTACAGGCACGCATCACCATACCCGGCTAATTTTTGTATGTTTAGTAAAGATTGGGTTTCACCATATTGGCCAGGCTGGTCTTGAACTCCTGACCTCTTGATCTGCCTGCGTCAGCATCCCATAGTGCTGGGATTATAGGCATGAGCCACTGCACCTGGCCTCATCATAGCTTTTTTTTTTTTAAATGGGCTGCTCTAATGTGTCTGTAGCAGTAGTCAAAGCTTGCATTTGAATACCTTTTTCCTTATTAAAACGTGGTGAGCTCAAAGAAGAAAACTATTTGAAATTTTTGAAACAAAAATCATGCATCTCTTTCTTTGATTTAGGAACAATAGTTACTGGTCACTATTGGTTGAAAGTCCGGAGTTGACTCCTGGGTTAGTTACTAAAATGCCACTGTTAATGTTGTTTGTCGTCTCTCACTCCTCCCTTGTGATGAAACTGGGAAGGTCTCTGGGTACACAGGTCATTGCTGAGGGAGGTCCTTTTGTAAAATCAAGCCTCGTCCATTGACTGCTGTGGTTTGGGCTTCCAGTTGGTGGTAGTATTTGAGAAACACAGAATGGCGGTTCCTGTCATCTACTTGGAAGAACAGTAGCAAATCAGTTTCATTTTGTGATTTGAACTTCCCCGTTATTCCTTCTGAAAAGTTGCTGGAGTGTTTGACCTATTGATTGACAGTCCTTCCTTTCTAATATAGGGACATCACAAAGGAAAAACTGAACTGACAAAGGAAGACTGAGGGCAGACTTCAGATGGGCTTTTGAGGTTGCTGTGGCTGAAGCCTCAGAGGCCACGTGCTGGGAAGGTTTGGTTCCCGGTGTCAAAGAAATGGGATAGATTTCTTTCTCTCTCTCTCTCTTTTTTTTTCTTTTTGAGATGGAGTCTCTCGCTCTGTTGCCAGGCTGAAGTACAGTGACTTGATCTCAGCTCACTGCAACCTCTGCCTCCCAGGTTCAAGTTATTCCCCTGCCTCAGCCTCTCGAGTAGCTGCGATTACAGGTGTGCACCACCAGGCCCAGCTAATTTTTTGTATTTTAGTAGACATGGGGTTTCGCCATGTTGGCCAGGGTGGTCTCAGTGTCCTTACCTCATCTTCTGCTTGCCTTGGCATCCCAAGGTGTGTGTGTTGTTTTTTTTAAAATATGTAAGTGTGATCTATTTATTATGATGTGATATTCTAGAGGAAGCAGTTATGTTATTTCCTTTTATTATTTCAGCTTTTATTTTAGATACAGGAGGTACCTGTGCAGGTTTTTTACAGAGCATATTGCACCCAGGTAGTGGCACAGTTCTCAGTGGGTCATTTTCACCCCTGCCTACTTCTCTCTCTCCCACTCCCCACTCTAATATCCTCCGTGTCTCTTGCTCCCAGGTTTATGTCCATGTGTGCTCTCTGTTTAGCCCCCACTTCTAAGTGAGAACATGTGGTATTTGACTAACCTACCTTGTTTGCTTGCTTGCTTGCTTCCTTCCTTCCTTCCTTCCTT